CCCCCCCCCCCAGTTCCGGTTCGGTTCAATATGGCGGATATTACATAGGGGGTTAAACTTCGAGTTTAGATTTTATATTGTTTATTTATTACACTTTATCTGACGAAATAAACAAAGTCTGAGGAATTATTTGTTTGATTTGAGCTCGTTAAAACCTGCAGTGTGTGCGTGTAACTGACAGCTGATTTATCAGGTAGGAACTGGAGAAATGTTGGTGGTGAATGCTCGTGTTTAGTCATAAATATTTAACGTTTATCATTAAAGTCAGTTTGTTTTCGTTAACTTTAAACGGACTCGAATATCTGTTGAAATTGGGATTAATTAATGCTTAACGTGTTGGTCTTTGTTGATTTTGTTTGACATCACGTTTTGTTTTATGTAACGTTAGCATGTTTTGTTTTTGTCTAGCAGTGTTTTTATGTGTCTGTATGTGTAATCCTTATGACATTATCTTAAAAAAGGCTATAGCTACGTAAATAACGGTTATTCGCTTTAGGATTAATCCACAAATTTTTCCAATTAATTGTATATGCAAAATGACACTAAATAGTGAAAAACGCCTGTTTTATTCCCACAGCCAAAGGTAACAGAATCTTCAGATGTTTTGTCTGACCGACAAAATGCAAAGATATTCAGTTTACTCCGATTTTAGACAAAGAAAAGCATCAAATCCTCCTCCTGAGATAGTATCAGGCCAAAGAACCTGTGATGTTAATCAGATTAAATAAAGCAGTAGTTTATGATGCTGTTGCTGTATTATTTTCGTCTAAACTTTTTTTTCTTGCTAAAAATATATATACATGCAGAATAATACACAGTGAAAATGAAATGATGACATTATGTTATATCACAGAATGGCTGTTTGTGTTGACAGCAATGTGACTTTACTCAGGAAGGAACGGATGAACCATTTCTGCCCTGATGATGGAGTCCCTCTGATCAGATCTTGGTAGAACATCAGAGCCATGGAGAAGTTTGGGATGAGTTTTGGGGGTGGTCCCAGCAGGAAGGAGCTGTTGGACGCCATAGAGTCCCAGAAGAAGCAGCTGGTACAGTACCAGACCCGTTTCAAGGATGTGGTCCGGGCCTACAGGAGTCTTCTAAAGGAGAAAGAGGCTCTGGAGGCCAGTCTAAAGGTCCTGAGTGTAACCCAAGAGGTGGACCTGAAGTATCAGGGCCCGGACACCTCCTCCACCACCCCAGACCTCCCAGAGGACGGCTGCTCACTGCACAGTGAGGATAGCATGGACACAGCTGCATCTGTAGACACACCTAATGAGACCACCAGAGGGGATCAGTCTGAGGAAGACCAGGGGGAACCGGGAAGAAAATCTAGCTTATTGGTACTTTTTCAAATATTTACTGATGAAAATGTTGCAAAGAGTGAACATATTTGATAGCTGCTGATGCTCTGTGTAGCTGGTTTCAAAAGGTATGATTCACCCCAGAGTATCGCTCAGTATATATGTGGCACAGTATTTTAGTCTTCATTCAAATAGAATACATCACAGTACAGCAGAACGTGTCCACCTTGTTCTTCCTTCCTTTAGGTGGGTGACTGTGTTTCTGGCCCAAGTAAAGCAATAAAAATAAGCATTAGTAAATATGTTCACATTTACTTTGACAAACAAAGGATAATAATCACCGTTATTTGGCCAAGTATGTTACACACAAGGAATTTGTTTCCGGTACAGAACCGAGGCAGCCATTTGCAGTGCCAACTCACACTGATGGCTCTAACTATTGGGGGCAACTTAGGGGTTCAGCGTCTTGCCCAAGGTCACTTCAACATGTGGACTGCAGGCACCAAGATTCGAACCCCTGACCCTCCAGTTGGGAGACGACATGCTAAACAGCATGTGTATTTACTACAGCTTAATGCTGTTTAGTTTGTCACCTAAAACAGGACAAACGTGACTAGACAGTGACAGGGATGGAAAGAAGCAATTAGAGTGTAACAAATTCAACAACTGTGATAAGCGTGCAACAAGTGTGATGTGGGCATGCAAAAATGTGATGCTCCAGCAGCAGTTTAATGTGATAAAGAGCAGATGTGTCTGATGCTTCTTCCTGCAGACCCTGAGGTCCGAACTTGAGGTTGGCAGCTCAGAGAGCAACAGTGGATGGGTGGAGCCTCAGCATTCAGCCATTCCGCCTCCCTCCATGGAGGTGGAGCGTCGAGTCGCCCAGATGAAGAGCCAACTAAGCACACTCACCAGCGCCCTGGCCACAGTGACACAGGAGAAATCTCGGATGGAGGCAAGTTTCCAGGCCGACAAGCGACAGCTGAAGCAGGAGGTGGAAGAGCTGCAGGAACAGCTGGCTGCTGTGACAACACAGCAGGAGGTGGAGCTGCACAATCTGCAGCAGCAGCTTGCCGAGAGTCGCGCTCGCATCATCACGCAGCAGCATGAGAGGGAGCAGGAGCAGGGAGACCATGTTCAGCAGCTGCGAGAGCTACAAAGGATCCTGCAGCAGGAACGAGACCTGCGTCAGGATGCAGAGCTCCGCCTACAGGACGCCAATACCACACTCCTGATAACATCACAGGCCGTGGACCGGGAGGCGGAGTTTGAAGCTCACTTGAACCAGGTGAAGGAAGAGAGAGATGTGCTGAAGAGAAGGCTGCAAACTGCTGAGGAGGAGCAAAAGAAACCTGATCCCAGAGTGCAACAACTGCAGCAAGAATTGACAGAGATGAAAACCCACTTCCAGCAGCAGATCCACAATGAGTCAAGGAAGGTAAGACTGAAACCAAAAAGAACTGAAACCAGGTCTGTATCGATTAAAGCAGGTCCACATTAAGACCAGAAAGGGTTAGGGTTAAGACAGAGATCAGACTGAAACTGGGGGTAAGTTTCAATTCCCTTATTTGCCTCCACACGTCCCTCATTTGGGTCTTGTCCTTGTCTCTCCTTGTTGAGCTACTGTAATTCAATTCAGCTCAATTCAGTTCACAACAAAAATCATCTTAAGGCACTGTACATAAAGAAAAACCCTGGACAGATTGATTTGGCTGGTAGCACCAGAATTTTTGGATTTCTGATAAAGGGGCATGTTTGTTCTTTTAAGGACTTCATCGAAGGATATGCTCATGTATCCTCGCTCATGGGTCCTCCAGCAGCCTCCTTGCTCCAAATCAAATCAAATTTTATTTGTATAGCGCCAAATCACAACAAAAGTCATCTCAGGACACTTTACAAAGTAAGGTCTAGACGTTACTGTTATCAATATTATTACATAGGGAAAACCCAACAAATCCCCCTTGAGCAAGCACTTGGCGACAGTGGGGAAGAAAAACTCCCTTTAACGGAAGAAACCTCCGATAGACCCCGGCTCTTGGTGGGCGGCCTTCTGCCTCGACCGGTTGGGGTGAGTGGATAGAGGAGAGACAAAAGAAGAAAAGCAACAAGACA